GCGGCCCGGCCCGGCCCCGCCGAGCAGCGGCCCGGCCCCGCCTCCCTCCCTCCGCCCCGGGGAAGGGGCCGCGGCCGGGGCCGGGCCGTGGGGGCGGGCTCGGGGCCCCGCCTGAGGCTGGGATGGCGGTGGGACGGGATGAGGTTCGCCCGTCACCCGTCGGTGATGAGTGGGCATCCCGCATGGGATGCGGTGTCCCTTCTTGACTTCCCTGCGCGTGTGGCAGGCACACGGAGTTTTGGTCTCCTGACAGTCCGAACGCCTCGTTGGTACCCAAGTCAGAAATCCCGAATCGCGGATGCGTACCCATCGGCTGGGACGTGCGGCGCTCAGCCACAAACAGTCCTGCTGGATTCAAAGGAATCCCCTCAATGCGTGTCCTGAAGAGTGTGTGTAAATATCTGTGGGGTTAGAGATGTACAGGCTGGTTGTATTTTATTTCATTCATTCTGGATGTTGCCAGGAATAATGCAGCATTTCTAGGCTCCCGTTTTCTTGAAAGGCGCATGGGGTTTCGCTGCAAACCTGCCCTTACTTTGGCAATCGAAGGTGGCAATACAGGTTTGTGATCCTACTCCAACCTGTAACAGCAGTGCTGATGAAGCAGAGCTCGTGCACCCTACACCGATTCATTCTGGGGATGAGCAAAGCAGTGCAGGCACCTGAGGGGCTTTCCCATTGCAGAAAGGAGACGTGAGTGATTTGGCCTCTGCGGTGCAGCTGGAGATATCCCAGCCTGCTGCATGGGACGATGCTGAAAGAAGGGATGGTGCTATATGGTCTTTTCAGCCATTTGGTGGCTCTGATGGGATCACAGCATCCCAGCAGAGTTGTAGTGTGATACCATAGCATTGGTTTAACACCAGGTCAAAAAACACTATAAACCTATCAGGTAGGGTCTCTCCTGAGCGAGGAATGGGGGAGTAAATTCATCAAATGTAACAGTCCAGAACAAAAATTGAAGCCAGGATTTAGAAATCTGAATGTTTCTTTCTGATTGGTTTAGCAACCTCTTGAGCAAGTTTTGCAGTACTCATTCTCTTCCAGCTTGATACCTCCAGAGTTGTGTGCACACCAGCTGCAGGAGCCATTTGCTACTTTAAAGCAGGGCTCAGGTATCAAAGAGACACGACTCAGCTTTTCACTGACACACTGGTTGCTGACTGGAATATCTGTTTTTGGTGCAAGTCATGAATAAAACTGCTAAATCTGAATGCAGTCATCAGCTAATTAAGGAAGTCCTGCAGTAGAGTGTTGGATTAAACCAACAGCACTGACAGTATTTGTAGGACTGATTAATACTTGGTCAGTTCTACCATTCATTTTGGATCCTAAGTCAACTTACAGCTTTCTTGAAGAATCAGTATTGATCAGCTTCCCAAACTAAAAGCCTATCCCACCTCTGATCCAAAGACCGTGGATATGTTTCCAAGAAGAAATCTTTTCATTAATTATAATGCATTGAATATAGAACAGTAATGAAACCCCACTTCTCTGAAGGAAAACTATTTGAGAGCACAACGCTGGAGGAATGCAAAGAAAGAATTACCAAACTCTATGATATCACAAAATGCACAAGGAGCAGAAATGTGTAAGAATTTAGAAAATTCAGCAGAAGCAGTTGCTGATAACTCTTTCAGCTCTTCAGAGAGTAACCATAAGGAACTGACGGATAGCAACCAAACAGTGAAGAGCCATGTGGTCTGTGACTTACGAATTCCTGTACCAGAGGGAAGCGTACTCCTTACTTGTTGAAAGAAAAATGGTGAATATTTAGAATCCATAAAAAAGTGTGATTAATAATTAGGCCCCAAATCTACCTCAATTCTTGTGATTTTAAAAGCATTTAGTAAGTTGTGGAGATAGTGAGAGACTTCGTATTTCTAAAAGATGCCTCTGTGTTCTCTTTTAGTCACGTACCTTGTATTCCACATCAGATTTCTTATATATCCTTTACATATTTAAATAACTGACGGTCTCCTACTAATAAAATTTTGAAAATATGTGTTAGTAAAGAAATTCGGAAAACTTGTGAACTGTTCCATTGTTTTCATGATTTCTTTGACACATCTCACTGTTGTTTGTGTGTTAAATCTTTCCTCTACTCCATAGTTGCCCAATCTCTTGGTTTGCCTGGGCTGCGTGGAGTGAAGAGAAATTGTCTTGGGCCACATTTAAAATATATAATATAGTTAATGTTTAAAAGTAATAAAGCTTTTTAATGTGTTTTATTATTGTTATTATTATTAAAAGAAAAAACGAGGGCAACAAAAAGGGTATGTGACCTTGTTTTTTGGAACTAACACATCAGTGTCTGGTTCAATGGCAGCAGCCACAATTTGCAGTGAGTTCTCTGGGTGTTCATCAAAGATCTTTGATGGTGTTTTGTTCTTCCTACACTTCATCCTTGAAAAATTGTTCACAAATGTTCATAGTGCCAAAAGGCAGTGACAAGAATAAGGTGTGGCTGTGAAGTATGGGGTGTTTCTTTCTTGTGAGAGGCACTTCACAGAAGTCTGATCGAGAGACATGGTCATATTTTTCTTTGAATTCAGTGTCTGATTTCAACTCTGCACATTGCATTTGAAAATACACAGGTAACGTATTTACGTCAAATGAAAATGGAATTGCAAATTTACAAAAAAAAAAAAAAGATTTTTTTGGCATTCTTAAAACTTCTTCTCAAATTCCTTTATCATAATGAAAAGCATGGAAACATGTTTTTCACTGTTTGCAAGACTGTGTTTATCCAATATTTCAGAATTGTCATTACTTGAGCTTGCCGTAATTTGAGTTTCATTCTGAATGTTGTTATGGTTTGAAACACACTACAGATAAGTAGATTTTCACCTTGAAGATGTCAAATATTGCAGAATCTGTTAGCATTGTATAAGTATTAACACAAACACAAGTTTAATAACTACATAAGAAAGCTTACATGCCTACTTAATAACAAAAAAGGCATGCCTTCACAAGAACACACATTTGTAGGTGGCTAGAAATATCACTATGGGCAATCACTGTGTTTTAGTCTCCAAGCGGCACAGGCCATGTAATGTGTAATATAGATGGTTTTCAAATGGATGTGTCCTTTCTGCTGCAACATGTGACGAGATGTCATTCTGCAGTCCCATGTAACCATCCATTCTGCCTTGGCTGCATCCAGAGTGGGCAAGGCTGAGAGCTGGCTGCCCGCTCTTCAGGATGGCCATGATCACCATCAAGGTCTCTGTGTGGGGAGATGAACAGTCTCAAGTATTTTAAGTTTCATTTCAGTGTTCTTTCTTCCCACTGACCCACCTCTGTTTACTAGAAGTAGGTATTGCTGCCGAAAGCTACTGTCACATTTATCAGTCTTAGGGTTAATGAACGCATAAAAGGGGAAGCCACACTGGTGATGGTTCATGGATACAGGGTACTTTAGCAAATGTAATTAATGAGGCTATTATCACTGAATTGCTGATGTTATGAAGCACATAGCCTCTCCATCAAAAGCAGTTTGGCTTAACAGGAGAATTCTGGTCTCTTCTCCACTGTCTCTGTTTCAGTCTCCTGTACACTAAGTAACAAAAAGGTCCAAAAATGTCCATCTGAAATACTACATCCACTCAATATGACTTGGTTAGTCAGACCTACTAAAATTTATTCATCAAATAATGAAATGAGGCACCCAAGTGAGCACTGGAGCATAATGTGACCGTAAGTAGTTACCAGTCACATTGGTTGTTCTTGTTTTCCTTGCTACAGTCCTCCCTTGAATAGCAAGGAAGGTAATTTAGTTCACACTCACTTCTACTCTGCAAAATGTGTTCAATCTTGACAGTGATGCAAAAGATACAAATGTAACCTCTCTGTATGTTTGAACAAATTGTGCAGAATTTGCTGAAATTATGCAAAAACATGATGTGTATAGTTCCTGCTCACTTGGACACCACAACAGTCCATTCCTCTGACCTGCCTCTTTCCTAGAGCTCAACTTACAATGTTTTGTCAGAATCGTTCCTTTCTTCTCCAACCACAGGCCACTTGGCAATTTGATGAGTCTTAGAGAGATGTTGGAAGCATGTTAAAAGATATGTGTGGCATTCTCCTTGACTGACAGCCTTCTAACAGCCTGAGCCCACATGAAATACAAAAGGCAACAATTAAATACAAAAATCTGAAAAAGATTTGAATGCATCATTGAAGAGAACTGCGTGTGAAGAAGGAACTGTATGTGGGAGATCATTTGTCTGAAGTTTGCATCATTTGGGCTCAATACAAAATGTGCATTTTAAAAGTGAGAGTTGAGTATTACGACATATTTTAATGATAATTTTTTTTCTCCACAACAATTTCGTATTGTTTTTAATGACCATTCTGGATCTGTGCCCAGAGCAAAGAAATCATCCTCGGATCTGGGTAATAGGATTGTAAATGCTCCTGAACAAACGGCTAAGTTATTTACTATTAATTTTGTTAAATCCACAAATGGTGAAGTTATTTACTGATAATTTAGTTAAATTTAATGAGGCTTTCCTTAATCTGTGTAATTAGCATCAGAATTTGAAAGTATTTAGTTATGTAGACTTGTCTCTGACAAGGCATTTTGTTTTTTTTTTTTGTTTTCCCTTTCCTGTTTTGAAAAACTGGGAAGCTGAAAGAGATTCTGAAAGCAGCAAAGCACCTGCTTATCTTTTCAGCCTGCTGAAGTTACTCAGAGAAACAGACTTTTGTTGTAGATATGGCTTGAACTTTGATGACGCTAAGGCTCATGCACCAGTTCTTTTTTCTGTCAATTGTGAATTGACTTTTTTCCTTCTAAAATCTTGACTTCCTGAAAGGATGACATGGCAAGGCTCTAGAATGGAGCAGATAGTCACATTACTCTGAATTTAGAGAAAAACAAATGGATAGAATGCAAATA